ATTTTTTGGTGCTTTCAATATTTTCTATTTTATTGGAGTGTAAGTTTTCAAAATAATTTCTAATTATCTTCTGTATTTCTGTAGTGTCTGTCATGATATTTCCTTTTTCATCATGTATGTTAGTAATTTGAATTTTCTCTTTCCTTCTCTTTGTTAGCATGCTAAGGGTCTGTCAATTTTATTTATTTTTTTCAAAGAATCAACTTTTTGTTTTGTTAATTTTTTCAATTGTTTCTTTTGTTTCGATTTCATTGATTTCAGCTCTAATTTTAATTGTTTTCTGCTTTTGGTATTGATTTGTTCTTCTTTTTCTAGGGCTTTGTAGTGTTAAGTCATTTATTTGTTGGCTTTTTCTTCTTTGAAGGAATGAACTCCATGCAATGAACTTTCCTCTTAGAACTGTTTTCATAGTGTCCCAGAGATTTTGATATGTTGTATCTGTGTTCTCATTCACCATTAATTTTTTTAGTCTCCTCCTTGATGTGTTTTGCATATTACTTAGTCTCCTGGTGTTAGAGTGGGTTTTATTTCTTATTTTATCATTGATTTCTAATTTCATTCCATTATGATCTGATAGAATGCAGGGTAGTACCTCAACTTTTTTATATTTGCTAAGAGTTGCTTTGTCACATAATATATGGTCTATTTTAGAGAAGGGTCCATGTGCTGCTGAGAAGAAGGTATATTCTCTCGTTGAAGGCTAAAATTTTTTATTTATGTCAGTTAAGTCTAAGTTATTGATGGTATTATTGAGTTGTATAGTTTCTTTATTAGGGTTTTGTTTGGGAGATCTATCTAATGATGAAAGAGGTGTGTTAAAGTCACCCAAAATTTTTGAGTTGTGGTCTATTTGACTCTTTAACTTGAGATGAATTTGTTTGTTGAACATAGATGCTCCATTGTTTGGGGCATATATATTTATATTTGTTAAGTCTTGTTGGTGTATGGTTCCCTTGAGCAGTATGTAGTATCCTCCTTTATCCTTTTTGATTGACTTTAGCTTGAAGTCTACTTTATTTGGTATGAGAGTGGAAACCCCTGCTTGCGTCTACAGTCCATATGAGTGGTACAGTTTTCCCCAACCCTTCACCTTCAGTCTGTGGATGTCTCTTCTTATGAGATGAGTCTCTTGGAGTTAGCATATTGGTGGGTCTTTTTTTTTTTTTTTTGTACAATCTGCTAGTCTATGTCTTTTGATTGATGAGTTTAGGACATTAATACTCAGGGTTATTATTGAGATAAGATTTGTGTTCCCAGCCATTTTTGTTTATTTTTGGTGTTTAATGTGACTTGGTTTCTCCTCTTGATTAGATTTTCCTTTAGTGTAATCCCTCCTTCTGCTGATATTCATCATTATTTTTCATTTCCCTTCATGGAATATTTTGCTGAGGATGTTCTGTAGTGCAGGCTTTCTATTTGTAAATTCTTTTAACTTTTGTTTATCATGGAAGTTTTTTATTTCATCAAATCTAAAGCTTAGTTTTGCTGGGTATAAGATTCTTGGTTGGCATCCATTTTCTTTCAGAGCTTGGTATATGTTGTTCCACGACCTTCTAGCTTTGTGGGTCTGGGTTGAAAAGTCTGATGAGATATGAATTGGTCTCCCCATATATGTGATCTGATTCCTCTCTCTTGCAGCTTCTAAGATTCTATCCTTATTCTGTATGCTAGGAATTTTCATTATAATGTACCTTGGTGTATATTTGTTGTAATTTTGTACATTTGGTGTCCTCTAAGCCTCTTGTATTTGGTTTTCTAATTCGTTCTTTATGCTTGGGAAATTTTCTAATATTATCTCATTGAAAAGATTGTGCATTCCTTTGGTTTGAAACTCTGTGCCTTCTTCTATCCCAATAACACTTATATGTGGTCTTTTGATGCTGTCCCACAATTCTTGATGTTCTGTTCATGATTTGGTACTATCTTCACTGTGTGGTCAACTTTATTTTCCAGTATGTAAACTTTGTCTTCATTATTTGATGTTCTTTCTTCCAAGTGCTCTAGTCTGTTGGTGATGCTTTCTATTGAGTTTTTTATTTGGTTTATTGTGTCCATCATTTCAAGAATTTCTGCCTGTTTATTTTTTTTTTTCAGAGTCTCTCTCTCCCTCTTGAAGTAATCTTTTGCTACCTCTATTTGCTCTCTGATCTCTTTGTTGGAGTGATCAATTTTTGCCTGTATTTGCTCATTTAGGTCATTCTTTAATTCACAGATCATTTTAATTATGAACCTTCTGAACTCCTTCTCTGACATTTCATCATCTTTGCTGTTCACAGGTTCTGTTATTATAGTATGCTGGCTTGTTTGGGGCACTTTCCTCCCTTGTTTTTTCATGTTGCATGTTGTCTATGTGTCTTCCTTTCTTGCAGCATGGATCTGAGATATTACAGTTTCTTCCTTATATTCTTGCAGTACCCATGCAGATTGTCTGTACCTCACCTTTATGTTGGGCTTCCCGACTCTGCTGGTGTCCCTCAATGTATGCTAAACGTGGTGATGGCAATGGCCAAGGTAAATCAAGATAATAGTTAAGGTGCCCCAAGATGGAAGCAATGTCTTACAGAGATGGAGCTGAAAGGGTCGGCTTCACACTCTCTTTGGGACGCCTGCTCTGAGATGCAGCTGCTTGTAGACCCTGTCTCCTATCAAAAAGTTAGAAGCTACTATGTGGGGAAGGCTATGGAGATGACTACAGTGTTCCAATTTGGAAGTGGGTTAGGCTTAGGCTCCCAGGTCGACAGGGAGTGGGGATGGGGGTGGGGAGCGAAATCGAATCTACCCTGGATCTGGGTCCTGCACAAGTCGGTGTGGGTAGATCTAGGCCAGGTCTGGGCTCTCGCAGTAGTCTGCTGGTGGAAGAGACAGTGCTGTGCAAGAGGCTGGGCTCTGGTGTGTGTCTGCCCTGCCAGTGGAGGGTTGGCCCTGGGCCTACTGTGAGCCTGGGTCCCATTAAGGCTGTTGTGCAGCACCAGTATCTCATATGCACTTAGGAAACACTGTGGCAGAAATTTGAAGCACAAGTATAGTAGTAATCCTTATCCGTGGATTTTATTTTTGTGGTTTAAGTTATGTGCAGTCAACCAGGTTTCAAAATTATTAGATGGAAAAGTCAAGAAATAAACAATTCTTAAATTTAAACTGGAGCACCATTCTATGTATCATGTTAAATCCCACACCATCCTTCTCTGTCTTGCCTGGGGTGTGAATCATCCCTTTGTCCAGGGGATCCACACTGTATAGTTAAACACACCAAAGAGAAGCTATATAGTCATTCATTTAAATGAGGAGTTGTAAATCCTTGACCTAAGGAAAACACATGGTATCTATAGGGTTCAGTATTATCTGTGGCTATAGGTATCCACTGGGGATCCTGGGATCCCTCTGATGGATAAGTGGACTGCTGTAAAGATCTGCCACAGTGTCTCCTGTAGCTATTAATAAAAAATACTTCATTAAAAATGGAAAAACCATGTCCAGTGCTGAAATGGGAAGAACACCATGGTCATAAATACAACTGAGACCTTAGACAAACCAAGTTGTATGGTCATCCTGTTGATATGCTGTATTCCAAGAGAATGTGCGGATTACATTTCCTGTTTAAATTTTCTATCTATAGTACATATACCCAATCAAGGCACCCCCAAAGTAATGGATATATTTATAAAACAGATTCCCCTTTTTAGCATCCAACACCTTGTCATTTGATACCTCCAGGTATTTCCTTAGAATGAATGGAGAGAATAACAATGACAGATATCTCATGGTGTCACGTGAGAAACACTTGTTTCTCTCACAATTTCCTTCAGGTACAAAATTCAATGAAGTAACTATATGACGCTTTCAAATTGAGGAACCCACTGTTTTGCATATTCCTATGTCAGTGATGAGTTCCCATCATTTCCCTCTAACAGCATGCTCTCATTTAGGGAACTTTGTAAACATTTTTATATTAGCATGTTTTGGATTATCTACATGACCACTTTATAGCTGAGGACTCAACTTTCAGACTGTGTTGATGTTGAACAGTATTAACTTAAATGTGGCAGAGAACGAAAAAGAACAGCAGTTAATAAATAAATGATGCATCAACTCTATGAACTGGCCTGGTGGTATTTAAGAAGGTTCTATAATCATTTGAATAGAAAGAAATGGTATGATGAGAGAAGAGAATTCAATATATATCTTAGTACAGGTGTATTGAACTCAATCAAATCAGCATCAAACAGTCCATATTATTTCAAGTTGAAATAACAATTTAACATCTATAAAATAGCATCACAGATTATGTAGAATGAGCTATTTAGCCTGGCTGCTGTTGGAGAAAATGAAAATTCCATTCCTTAAAGGTTCTCAACTAACAACCTCCTCTTCCTCTTTTCCCTACTCCTGTTCCTCCATCTCCTCCTCCAGGGTTGGGGGAGAGGAAACCCAGGGCCTCACATAGGCTAAGCTTGTGTCTACTACTGAGCTGTGCCCCTACTCTGGCCCCTGATTTTCATCAGTACATCTCATCATAATTATACTCTTCTTCCCTCAATGAACATGGGGAACACTTTTGTTGTCTTGGGAAAATATTATTACCACAGGACTTGAAAGTAAAAGCTCTGTTCTAGTAAGGAGGACATAGGGACCTTGGACTTATTTTTTCCATGGACTCTCCATGGGAGCCTGATTAAGTTACAAAGACTCCTCCTCCTTTCCTCTCTCCTGGGAAGTACAAGGAGCACAGTCAACAATCCCCTTAGCATGCGTTGTAGCTCTTGCAGTTTGTAATGTTCATCTGGGGTTAATTAACATGGTGAATATGTTTTTACCTCATGCTTCCTCAAAACCATAAGAGCCCGATGGAAATCTCATGAGGAGAGCAGACACAGGGATATAGGGAGTGGCTGTGGCTGAACAACATGGCCAGTCATTGAATGTAAAGGTGGGGACCTAGCTAGAAGCCACATATTCTGCTTCATGACTAGTCCTACCTGTTCTTTTTCAGGCATGGGGTTTCTTCATCTCACCACAGGGAGTCAAGGGATTTCAACCCATCCTGGGGACTCAGATGCTATCTGGCTCCACTCCTCCCCTGGGCCAGCAGAAGTCTGAGGTAGAGATGCTGGAAGCCCAGCCTGAGGGTTTCCTTAGGTATGCCAAATCTGGAGCTGAGGGAATTGGCAAAACTAGGTCCAAGGTTGACTGGGGGATGAGCAACAGTGAATCATACAGACTCTCTTCTGGACCAAGCTCTAGGCAGGCTCTGCTGAACCTCCTTCTCAACTAGAACTCAACTATGGCCTATAAAAACTGCACATGTGATTTTGTTTATTGCTCTTTTCCACATTAAAAGACTTGAACAAACACTCACATGGTTTCCAACCGTTCAAGGTCACGTCTGTAGGATGAACCCACCCCCTCCCCTTATAGTACCCACCTCAGAAAACTCAAGACTGCTCAAAGAATTCACCATTTGTTTCAGCTAACATTTGATGAGAGGGCCTGCCCTCCCTTTCTTGAGGGATTTACCATTGTGAGTCTTTCCTCTGTCCCTTGGGATATAGAAGTGTACATCTCCTACAACCCAGGAGTATGTTTCTCAAGGACCTGAAAGCCATTGCTTTGGAATGCAATCATTAGGAAGGACAGGGCCTCTGTCTCAGTCTCTGTGGGAGGACAGAACCTGAACTTGGACAATTAACTTTGTAATTTTTCATTTTCCTTCCTCAGCCCTTCCCACGTCCTCCCTCCTCACTAGTTCAATTCTCCCTTTAAAATACCCTGTCATTGTTGTACAGAGTTGAATTTGGTTCATGCTGGACCGTCTTCACTATTGTAACTATTGTATTGTGTAGTATATTATTCATTAAAACCCTAACTGGCTTTATTTATCTTTGACACAGATACTCTCAAGTCTTTGTTGAAGACCTATGAATGACACAAGAGAAGCTGGAACTTCACTGGGGACTGTGTTCTCACTGGTCGCTGAGGTCTCTGCATCCTGCCTGACTTGACCCCATTTCATCTTTCCTCTTTCTCACCATTGCCCATGACAGCAGCCTTCCATGATATACTCCTCATAATGCAGCCTGGAAATCTTTCTAAAACCCAACTGTGATCATTTTTTCTCTCCCTTTAGATTCATTTGGTGGTCACACAGAGACCACAGGAGAGAGGAGAAACAGAGACCCACTTTCTGTGGTGATTAACTTTATGTGTCAACTTGGTCATCATACCCGGAAAGTCAGTCAGCCACCCGTCTATAGTTATTTCTGTAAAGGTATTCTTTAGATATAATTAACATTTATATGAGCAGATTGCCTTCCACAGTGCGCATAGACTTCATCTAATCAGCTGAAGTCCTTAAGAGGAAAAGACTGAGGTCAACAACCACATAATGGAATATTGCTGAGCCCTAAAAAGAAATAACTTGTCAAACCATGAAAAGACATCAAGGAAACTTACACACATATTTCTAAAAAAAAAAAAAATAGGTCAATTTGAAAAGGCTACATAGTCTATTGTCTTTGGGAAAATTAATACCATGGAGATGGTAGAAATATAAGTGTTTGCCAGGGTGTTTGGGACTGAGGTGGATGACTAGGCAGAGTACAGAGGATTTTTAGGGCAGTGAATTGACTCCGTATTATACTACAATGGTGGGTACATGTCATTATACACTTATTTAAATCCATAGATAGTCCGACACTAGGAGTGACTCCTAAGGTATAGTCTGAGTTATAACAATGTGCCCATATATATTCATTGATGGTAACAAATGGACCACTCTGATGGGGGGTGTTGATAATGGGGATGCTGTGTAGGTGTGGGAGGAGGGACATGTGGACATTCTATGTTTCTTCTGCTCAATATTGCTATGAAACTAAAACTACTCTTAAAAAATAAAGTTTTCAGTCAGTATCTCTAATCCCAGCAACTCAGAAGTCTGAGGCAGGAGGATCACAAGTTTGAGGTCAGTCTGGGCAAGTTTGTGAGGCCCTGTCTCAAAGAATAAAACAAAGGCTTAGGATGTAGACTGGTGGTAAAGAACCCCTGGATTTAACACAGTACTGCGATAAATCAATAAAGTCTAAAAAAAAAAAAAAATTCTGCCTCCCCATGGGATTTGGATTTGTACCACAACAGCAGCTCTTCCCTGGGTCTCCATTCTGTCAGCCTACTCTGCAGACATTGTATTTCTTCACCCTCACAATCACATAAACCTGAAATAAGAGGCTTGGTGGATCTCAAGCAATTAAAACATGGAAAAAGGCAACATTTAAAAATTAGCTTCCAAATAAATTGATATTTCTATAATATGGATCTTAAAGGTCCCCCCAAAGGCCCATATGTTAACAGTTTGGTCCCAGTGCGGTACTATCGAGAGGTAGTGAGACCTACTGGGAGGTCTTTGGGTCATTGGGGATGTGCCCATAAGGGGGATAGTGAGACCCCAGCCTGCCCCTCTCTCTTGTGCTTCAGGCCGTGAGGTGATCAGTTTTTTTTTTTTTTTTTTTTTTTTTTTTAATTTTTTATTGTGGGTTGTTCAAAACATTACAAATTTCTTGACATATCATATTCCACACTTTGATTCTAGTGGGTTATGAACTCCCACCTTCACCCCATACACAGATTGCAGATTCACATCAGTGAGGTGATCAGTTTTGTTCTATCATTCAGTTCCTCCATGATACGTTGTCTCACCATGGACCCAAAGCCATAGGCCCAAGTAATCATAGACAAGGATCTCCCAAATTGAGCCAAATTAACCTTTTCTAAATTGATTACCCAAGGTATTTGTTATAGCAAAGGAAAGCTAAATAACACAGATATTCATGAAAATAAATGAATCTGTCCTTGCTGGGTTTCATCCAAAAACCCTCTACATAATTAGCACATGGATCAAGGTTTAGTAAACCTTTACCACAGATGTCTTTTTTCTGTTTTAATAAGCTCATCTTCCTGAGAATAGTTTTCTCTGTGATAGTCATTAATTCAAGTGTGGAAATAAATGAAACCTAAAATCAGTTCTTCAAATTACTGTTTTTTTCAAAGCACTGAACCTAGATTTAAGATAAATACCTATTCAATTATACTTATTAGTTTTTAATATTTTTGTAATCACAGAAATGTATATATTTTTTAAAAAAGTTCTTGCTTTTTATTTTTTTTAAATTTTCACTTGTGTTTTACAAGCTTTATAAATTATCAAAAAGTTACTACATGGGCAGGGGTTGTGGCTCAGTGGTAGCACATGTGAGGCACTGGGTTTGATCCTTAGCACCACATAAAAATGAAATAAAGATACTGTGTCCAACTACAACTAAAAAATAATATTTAAAAAAAGTGTTACCATATATAATTTAATAAGAATGAATTAGAGATATGTGCTCAAAAATTTTACCAATGGGTAGAAATAACTGGATTTAGGGAACTTTAACCTCTGGTTTTACTTTTAGTCAATTTTTAAAGTAAAGCCACAATTTTTGAACTATTCTTGTATATGCACATTAAATCTAAATATTCCCATACTGTCCCAGTGAGAACAATCTGTGTCTGGTAAAGCCTACACAGCCATCCTCAGAGGATGGAGCCTGGTGTGAACAATGAGCAAGAATGGTAGTAATGGTAGCTGCAGCAGAGGTGATAGTAGCATAGTCCTCCCTTGGTATCCAAAAGGGATTTGGTTCCAGGACCCTTCACAGATACCAAGATCTGTGGATGCTCAAGTGCCTTATACAAAAGGGTGTGGTATTTGCATAAACCCACCCAATCTAACTCTGCCATACCTCGGCAACCTCCTGACATCTGGAACGTTCAGATGTAGCAAAAGTTTTAAAAGGTTGGGGGTCAAACTGTGAATAGCCTTTTCCTATTATATACACAGGCCTCTACAAAGGGCCCTAAATTTTCCCAACTTCCCAAAAGTGGGCATTTCCCATTGGCCAAACATGGTATCTTCCCTTGGTCCTTTAGGATAGAAGGAAGAGGCACTGCTCCAGGGTCTCTAAGAGTTCCACCCCCCTTCCTCAGGGTCTTCACTCACCTTTTAGGGCTGTTAAGTCCTTTGCCTTATCTGACAAGGTGCGGTCCCTGGGAACCAGCATGGAGCCGTCACCGAGGGCCCAGGTCTTCACGGCTCTACTGCCCAGTGTCTCCAGGGTCTACATGCCTTCTCAAAGCCCTGGCCACCCTTTGAGAATTCTGAACCACCCACGCCACGCCTTGCCACAACTGCCACCAAAGGTTCCAAGCCCTCACCAGTGGCTTGTTCTGGGAAGAGCAGGATTGAGCCAGGAGACCTGCAGTCAGCAGGGTGCTGGGCGCCTCAAGTCATCGCCACCCTCAGGTCATCTAGATGGTGGAGGAGGCTCCAGGATCCTTCAAGTCCTGAGCTAGCCAGTGCAGACCTGCAAGGTCCTGGTGTCCACAGGGCAGAGGTGGAGGACCCCAGAAGTCCCCGGAGAGCAGGCCACGCTCTGATTCTCACTAGGCACTCTGCTGGAATACACGGGGAAGGAGATAGTTAACTGGGAAATAGCAAGGAAGGGGGTGGATTCCCACTATCCCCTTGGAGGGCATGACCCCAATGACCTAACTTCCTCCCAGCAGGCCTCACCTCTTAAATGTTCTACTACCTAAAGCTAGGTGTGGTGGCATGAGTCCATAGTCCTAGCTCTTTGGAGGCTGAGGCAGGATGGTCACTTACATCTAGAAGTTCAAGGCCAACGTGGGGAACAGGGAGAGCTTTTAAATAAAAATAAAATAATATAAAGGAAAGGAAAGAAAAAGTTTTCACCACTTGTCAAAACTCCAATTTTGTAAGGTTAGGGAGCAAAACTTAGACACCTGGGCCTTTGGGGGACATTTCATATCCAAACCACAGACAGAGATATACTTGTTGGCAAATTGCTCATTTTTTAGTAGTTTGATTTTAATTTCATGTTTTCAGGAGAAACATATAGTACAGATGATTCTGAAGCTGAATTTAAAGTGGAGCATGTAGACATGTGTACACTAGGTCATGGAACTGCCTAGTGTACACATGTCTTTGTGTCCCTGTGACAACACTCATCTTGCCATCATGAGCCCTGGGCAATAGGTCCCTGTGTGGTTTCCAGCTGAGCTCAAATGTATCCATCTAAAAGCAATGGAAGAGTTTCCAGTTTAGGATTATTACATGTTGAATATTCCTTATCTGAAATTCTTGTGTTCAGAAGTTTTAAGAATTTCAGATATTTTTCTGATTTTAGAATACTTTCTTGTATACAATGAAGTATCTTGTGGATGGGACACAGGTCTGAAAATGAAAATCAATTGTTTCATGAATGTCTTATGCACATGGCCTAAAGGTAATTTTATATGATATTTTTTAACAATTTCGTGAATGAAACAGTATTTATGTACATTGAATCATCAGATTTGTGGTACCATGTTGATGCTTTAAAAGTATTGGAATTTGGAGAATCTCAGATTTCAGAGAGGGAATTCTCAAACTATAGTAATGGTTGAATACCATTTGTCTTCAGTGAGCCTGTGTATGTAGAGTGTCTCACAGTGGAACTGTTGGTCAGAACAAATATTGATGAGGCCTGTGAGAGAGTTCTAAATATATCAGAACATTATCCTTTATTCTGAAGCAAAAGGCTAGTGTGGAGCCCAATAATTAATGAACATGAATCTTGGAAGAGAAGGTAGGGGTTGAGCAAGTCTGTTTTCCAAACATTAATGGACATATGAATCCCTGTGGGCTTAGTTCTGTCCCCCAGCATTCATATATTGAAGTCCTAGTTTGCAATACCCCAGGAAGTGACTGTATTTGGCCATAAGGTCTTTAGAGAGGTGATTAAGTTAAAATGAGGTCAGCAGGATGGATTCTCATCCAGTATAACTGGTGTCTTTTTAAGAAGAGAAAATTTGAACACAGACCAATAGAAAGGGAAGACCATGTAAACACACAGCAGGAAGGTATAAGCCTAGGGGAGAACCATGGAACAGATCCTTCCTCACAGCCTTTAGAAGGAACCCTGTGAACACCTTGATCTTGGATGTCCAGCCTCAAGAGCTTTGAAAAGAAAAAATTTTGTTATCTAAGCCAGCATCTAGTCTGTGCTGCTTTGTTGTGGCAACCCTAGGAAACTTTTCCATGATTCTCCTGGGGTCTTGTGAAAATGCAAATTCTCCTTTGGTAGGTCTGGGGTTTAGCCTGAGTTTTTTCATCTAACAAGTTTCCACATAGTGCAGATGCTGCTGGTCCATGGACCACACTTTGAGTATGAAAGGTCTAGAGTACATGTGAGATCTCTCTCTTTGCTGAGAAGAGAAAGACCTGTTCCACAATGGAAAAGAAAGATTTTTTAGGGTGATAGTAAACTTGCGAGGTGGGAGGTCGTGGATCAGTGCAATGTGCTAGCCAACTTGCTTTCTGGGTGACGGGGAAGCCCTGATTGATAATGATGACTGATTCCTGTGGTGAAAGTGCTCCCACCACGTTTGATGTTTGATTGCTAAAAGTTTTACAACTGGCTCATCCAACTCCTGAGAGTTTAAGAATCAACTCTGGCCACTGAGAAGAGGCGGCTCCAGCATAACATTGCACAGGATGCTGAAGTAGGGGCTTCCTGATTTACCTGATTTCTCCTATGAGTTCAAAAGGATTTTGCCACAAGCCAAGTATGAGATCTGCTACTTAAGAGAATTAGGAGAGGCTGGGGACAGAGTTAATGTCTGGGAAGCTGTCCCTGTAATGCTGTATGTGTGAAGGCCCAGGTGATCGGGGAGGGGAAGATGCAAGTGGAAGCCTCCTCTCTCTCCTTTCTTCCTTGTGTATGAACGGAATGAACATAGATCTCAGAGGACTTGAATACAGCTCCACAGCAGGCAGTTGGCATGGTGTGTGGTGGCAAAGAGGGATACTGATGCAATGACCTAAAAACTCTCCCCTTTCTTCTGTTCTCTCCCCAGAAGCATGGCTCCATTCCTGTTGAGAGGATTGCTGAACTCTTCTTCAACAGGCAGAATTTTGATCTGTGACCTTTGTCTCTGCTCTCCAAACTAGCTCTCTACTTACAGTGGTGTGTATTGCATCACTGTACATTGTGTATATGTGGGAATATACATTACATATATATAATATAAATTTAATCAATGGGTTTTGGATTATTTTTGTAATTAAAAGATACATACCACCCTTCCTGGGCTATGCACATTAATATTCACATTCTCAGGAGCTTCTCAGGGATAGCAGCAGGGGCTCTGATGAGATGCTTATAAATACTTTAGGTATAATTACCTAAAAAATCAAGTTTGTTTGAAATTATTAGGAAACAGAGAGATGTGAGCAGCAGGAATATGAGGTTAAGGGAATAATTCTTTTATCTGTGTTCATTGTGCCAACTGCCAAGTGCTTTATTTTTTAAAAATCAATTTGCCTCCAGTCCTTCCTGGCCTAAGTTATCAGACTATGTTACATTCCTCAGAATACTATCTGTTATCTGTAGGAGAAATACAGGCAGGAAATAACAAAAAGGTTCCCTAAAGGGGAACATTTGTGATCCTTATACAGACCAGATTCCAGAACTCAGGGAGGTAAGGATAATTCCTTCTAATCATAAAATCTGGGCCAAAGTTACTTAGAGTTGTTATGATGGGGACTTTAAAATCTGATGTCATCCTGTTTTCAGTGAAAACTCAAGAGGTGGACCTGGGTGGGACTTTCCATAAACTTCCTTGAGATCCCACAATATAACTGGAGGGCAAGAAAGAGTGCCATCCTTCTTTTCTGAGAGGACCCCCCTTCACAAGACAGAGTGTCTTCTTTTCCCTTTTTCTGACCCTTCTAATGAACTCACACCTGTTACTCTGAGAGACATGTCTGAAATCTTTCTGGCACAATTGTAAGAGTTGAGGTTTGAAGAGGGGGACTCTGAGACTGCCTCAGCTTCTCAGCAAGCCAGTGTCCTGTAACAACATC